GACAGAGGAGAAAAGAGGACACCTGAATAACTTCATGTTTTCTCAATTCTCACAACATTCTATTGCATATAACTATTCCCATTTTACATGAGATACCCTAGAAATACCCATCCAAGGGTCACAGGAAACAACTATATGTCAGAATTTGAATCCAGTAAAAGCCTTGTTTTCCTCCACCCCAAGCCAACCCCTAGTGGTGAACAGGCTGGGAGGACAGTGTGCAGAAGCCTTCTTCATACCCACAAAAAAATACTGGAGTTCAGAATCCATTTATTTATTCAGTACATATGTGCTGAGGTCCACTTTGCACCCACCCCTATAATTTGGATCTATACAGTTCCCTAAAGAGGAGCAAGGAGAAATAGGGGAAACCTAAAGACTGGCAAAGGCAGGCAAAGCAAATGTGTTTTTAGGGTCAAAGGATGGAATAATACATGCCAAGGTATAGAGACCAGAGAAGTGGAGCTTCTTTTTCTTAAAATAGTTTGGTTACACTGAGGAGGTATGTGAAGGATGAGGCTGGAGAGGTGAGCAGGCACCATGTCTCAGAGAGCAGAAAAAGCAAGAAAGGTTTGACCCATGAGGAAGTCATAACAGTAACCTAAGAGGGTGATCACAGACCCAGGAGAGTAGTGACAAAGGACTCAACACTCAACTGTTTGAGCATTAGCATACATTAGGCATTCTGCTGAACACATCAAAGAATGAGAAGTCTGCCTTCATGGAGCTCATAGTCTAATCAAGGAGATAATCAACCACACAGATATGTAATATCAAGCACTGATACATACCATGAGAAAGAAGGTAAGAGTGGGTAAACAGAATTTGTTTTCTGGGGATGCTATCACAAAGAACCACAGACTAGGTGATTTAAAAAACAGAAATTTATTTCCTTGCAGTGCTGGAAGCTAAAAGTCAAATACCATCAGGGGTTAGTATGGTTGGTTTCTTCTGGGACCACTCCTTGGCTTGGAGTGTCTTCTCTCAGTTTCTCTGAGGGTCTGTCCTCTTATTTTCCTCTTCTTGAAAGAATACTAGTCATATTGGATTAAGACCTACCTATTAAATCTCATTTACCTTAACTACTGCTAAAATATTAGTGGTTAGGATTTCAACATACAATTTTTTTGGAGGACGTAATGAAGTCCATAATACAAGGTGATGGAGTCTAACTAATATTAGAGGTAGAGGAAACAGAAGGATCTGAGATACTTTGCATAGGATGATATGGCAGCATCTTTGAAAAGGCAACAGGCTGAGATCTGAATGAAGAGTGAGCATTACCTATATGGTGTCTATGGTAACCTTCCAAGCAAAGAAAGCAGCTGATGCAAAGATGCACACATGAGGACATGGCTCAGCACTATCTGCCATACTCATCTTTAATAGTAAAAAAGGGAGCTGGGTGTGGTGGCTCACGCCTTTAATCCCAGCACTCAGGAGGCTGAGGTGGGAGGATCGTTGCGAGTTCGAGACCAGCCTGGGCTACAAAGTGAGCTCAAGGCCAGCCTGAACTGCATAGTAAGACCCCGTCTCAAAAAAGACAAAAAAAGAAAGTAAAAAAGGGGTGGGAAGATAGGGAAAACAGACATTGGTTAAAGGCTACAAGGCTTAGATTAGATAAGAGATTAAATAATCTGTTGCACAGCATGGTGACCATAATTAATAAACTACTGTTGCCCTAATCTGTTTTGTGCTATTATAACAGAACGTTACAGACTGAGTAATTTAAAAAGAAAAGAAACTTATTTTCACAGTTCCAGAGGCTAGGAAGTCCAAGATCAAGATGTAAGTAGGTTATAGCCTGGGTTTCCAGCTTTCAAGGTGAGGCCTTTTTCTGCATCTTCTGGAGAAGAAACCTTGAGCTGTCACATGGCAGAAGAGCAAGAGACAGCTCACTCCTAGAAGCCCTTTTTATAATGACATTAATTCATTCAAGAGGGTAGGACCCACCTAAGCTATATATCCGCGACTCCCCAATATTGTTATACTGGGGACTAAGTTTCCATACGAAATTTGGAGAGGAAAAAAGCATTTAAGCCATGGCAACTGTGTACTTCTAAGAGCAGATTTCAATTCTTACCCAAAAAAAGCAACTAGGTGAGGCAATAATATGTCAGTTAGCTTGATTTAATTATTCTATGTTTACCTATATCAAAACATATTATCTACATATATGTTTTATCAATTAAAGACAAAATTAAAACTTTTATTAAGGAAAAAAAAAGAAAGTTAGTAAGAAGGCTAGCATGATGGGAATGCAGCAAGATGTGCAAGTTCCTGTAAGTCCATTAGGATAAGTGGCCCTTACAGGAAATGGTGTCATGGCTTATGTTGGTGACGCCAGGGTCACGCTCATGGGTTTGCATTGTGCATTTGTGATTGGTCCATTGTCTAGCGCTTGGATTGATGGTGTCAGTGCTACACCCACATGGGGTGGAGCCAGCATACATTGTAAAGGGTGGAAAAAGGCATGTCTCTCTCTCTCTTGCCAGTTTCCACCTTGCTGTTTGCAGCCCCAATGAACTGCGGCCCGGCTATGCCACCCTGCCTTGGAGCCAACTGAGTATGGACTGAAACTCCAAAAACTGTAAGAAATAAACCTTTCCTTTCCCAACTTTGGGCATCAAGTATTTTGTCTCAGTGATGAGTAAAAACGTAACTAAGACAGACGGGAAACCAGTGGAGAATTCTGAGAAGAGTGCCATGATGAGCAAAGAGTGACCCAGGAGTTTTAAAACCAACACCTTGTTGTGAACAGATTGGTGAAGAAAGGAAGGACAGAAACAAGAAGAGTAGTTAGGCAGCCTTTGTAGTAATCTAAATGAGAAAGGGCGCTGGAACTAAGTAGTGATGAAAGTCTTGACAAGCGGTCAGTTCTGGGGGTAGCCTGAAGAGTGATACAACAGGATTTACTCATGAGTTAGCAAGTAAAACAGAGTAAGGAAAGACTCAATGGTAATTCCAAAGTCTTGTCCCAAGCAACGTGGTTTCATTTACCTTGATGAGCAGACCTGTGAGGGGAGTAGGTTTAAAAAAGACATGAGAATTTACAGTTTATGAGAGACAATGGTTAGTTAGAAATGAGACTGGAATTCAGGGGGAAAGGCTGAGGTTGAAGGTATAAATTTAGGAGATACTGCCTAATACTTAAACTGTGGCACTGCTAGAGATCACCCAACAAGTGTAGAAAAGGTATAAAAAAGGACTAAACTAAAAACACTCGAATCCTTAAGAGATAAAGAGAAGGTACATTCTGCAAAAACAGGGAAACTGGAGGAAAAGCAAGTGTTTCTGACTTGATAGAAACCAAATGAAGAAAACATCTCAGGAATTCTGAGAAGGTAAGTAGATTGAAAACTGACTACTGGACTTATCACAGAATTTGACCAGGGCAGTTTCCAGGGAGGGATTTGGGGAGGTGAATATCTAATCAGAGCTGGCTCCAGGGAGAGTGGGAAAGGAAGAATCAGACATGGCAATTCTTTTGAATTTTGCTATATTGGGAAAAAGAAAATGCCATGTTCAAGATGGAGAGAAAAAAAACTTTAAGACAGGTGCATACTTGTAAGTAATGGGAATAACTATTGGAAAAGACAAATGGCAACATTGGAAAATGGAAATTACAGGTATCAATGCCAAGCTGGCATTTGGCCTTGAATAGTAAAAGTGATTCATTCTTAAGGAAGGAAGGAAGGAAGGAAGGAAGGAAGGAAGGAAGGAAGGAAGGAAGGCAGGCAGGCAGGCAGGCAGGCAGGCAGGCAGGCAGGCAGGCAGGCAGGGCTCATGAGCACCAGTGCAAATGGATTAGATTTGATTGTGGTGGAAATGTGGATATGGACATTTTCCTGAATGCTTTTACTTTCTTAGTGAAATAAACATACCAGTCAGCAGTCTGAGGATGGGGAGGGAATATTAAAGACTGAGATGGAGAGATTTGACTAAGTTCAAGAACCAAACTGTTGGTATAATACAATTTAACTTATCAGACACAGAAAAATGTGAGACATAGGAAACAAGGACAAATTTCTGCTGTAAAATGCAACTGGAGGGATGATGGAAATGTCTTCCATTGAGGTAGGGATGCTTGCCTGTGGGAGAACAGGTCTGGGAGCGGAAGAGTTTAATTTTGACATGGAACAGGGAACATCTAGACAGATACGACTGTCTGAAGCTCACGAGAGAAATCTGAGCCTAAGAAATCTGAAGTTCTTCACCTAGTAGTTCTTGTCATCTTCCTACACAAAGACAGATTTTCATGATTGCTATTATGAGACATAATGGGACTTTTGGGTTAAAATCAGACAAGGTCTGAAACAGATTCCAGATGAATGAGAATGTGAATAAGGAAGCAGGAGCTAATCAGGCACCCCTGGAGGGGAACAGTTAAGCGTAGAGCTCTTACCACTTAGCAATGTCCCTGAAACTCAAAATGTGTTACCTAATGCTCTTTCTTCCTTGCTTACTTGGTTAATTCCTACTCACTTTTCTTTACTCAGATGAAGACAGAACTTCCCCAGAAGGCTGTCTCAGAACTTTCAGAGGACAGCTTTCTATAGCACTTGACAAGTGAAACTAGATTTCTTCTATGTATTTTTCAAATAATCCCTTATATACCTTATCATAGCATAAAACATACTGTATTGTAATCACTGGTTTATTTATCTGACTGTCTTACCATACTGAAATAACTTGAAGACAGAACCTTTTCACCTTTATAATAATTATTAGTTAGTAGGAGGCTCAATAAATGTTAAGAAAGAAGAAAAGAACTGAAGTCCTAAACACAATTCTAGAAGATCATAATACCCCAGCTTGAGTCACACACATAGATATTAGACATCAAGCCAGAAAACAGAGAAAAAAAACTCCTTTTTCAACATACATTCTTTTTTCTTTTAGAAAAAGAATATACTATACTTATAAGAAGGACATATCCTTACCTTATAGTAACATACTTTAACTCCTGCCCCATCCCCAAACACTCAAAACTCGAGGAATGATAGAAAGCTTGTATTTAAAAATCAAGTTATTTGTGTGAATCAGTCACTCTTCATTTCCAAATTCCAGTTCCTGTGCTTGGGAGCAGAGTGTGTGGTATTTTTCTGGGCTCAAGGAATAAAGTGACAAGGTGTTCAAGAATTGGTCCAGTGGACAAAGCTTGTCAGGGCAACCTCTTGGCAGCTGCTCCTGTGGAAGAGACATAACTAAGCAGGTTCACTGAGGATCCCATCCTTCTGCTGTCTTCTGCTGAGACCAGCGGTCTGAGAGGCCCCGGCTCAAGCAGTACGTATGTGCACAAATATAACACCCAGGAAGGCTCCACTACCTGGTCCATCTCCAGAATAAAAATACAATCTTCTTATGAAAGGCACTCAAGAAATGTTTGTTGAACTGACTTGGGAAGACACAATGAAAATATATCCCGAGCTGAAAAGGCTAAAGGTCTTATCCCTGGTGAGTGCACCAGTTTGCTCCTTGCACATTAATAATGATAAAGCAGCTAAGACACCAAAGGTGCTGACAATACATTACATCCCAAAGACGTCATTTTTAATTTTCAAAACTGACCTCACAGTCAGGATGTTATAGCTTGGCAGAGATACTCAAGAGCATAGCAGAAGGTGGTAACCCTGCTCCCGGAGGTCTGTAACATAACTGGGACAAGGCCCAAGTCCCACCTTTCTACCATTTGGAAAATTTTGCTGTAGTTCTAGGCCACCGCTGTCAGTCACCCCATAGGACTCAAAGACCTGATTGTGCCAATGAAAATTCCACTGGGCCTATGGAAGGAAACTAAACCAGGTGGGAAGTGTAGGGAGAAGGTGGTGCCTACTTACTACCCTAGCCCAACTCAGAGGTCTTACCTCTCCATGGTAATAGAGCTGCACAAACCATTCCTTAGACTTCTGGTGCTGGTAGAGTTCTATAGTCAGATCAGCAGCAAATGGAGGCCATTTGTGGTCAAAAGTCCCCAGAACCATTAAGAGAGGCATGAGGGTCACATCATGAGTTGCGTAGAGGTACAGCTTTCTGCAAGAAGCAAATAGTTTTCCACAATTCCTTACTCAGGTCTCTGGAGGCCAGAACACTGCCTGTGTCCTTTGAGTAAGAAACACTTACTTCAGAAACTAGATGAGCCCTGGTATGAAACTCCATTGAAACAGATAGTGGGAGAATCATTATACCTGTACCTCACGTTTTCCCAGGAAGGGTCCCACTGCAGCAACTGTCCTTTCCATCCACTCACTCCTTGTGGGGAGTTTCATGGAAGCAATGTGTGGCTAATGCCCTATCCCTCCCTTTCTCTGGATCCTGCAAATGTTCTTCCCACACTCAGCCATGTGACAAGTTTAGTGGGGCAGGCTCTGCTCTTTGTGCTGGAAGCCTGCAGTTTTGGAGAATTAAGTTCATTTCAAAGGAATATGAAAAAACCTATTTGGTCCTCAACTCATTCTCAAAATGGCTCTAATCAGAAATAAAGGTGCCATTTTAAACCTATTTGTGTGATGCCAGTATCTATCTCCGAACAAGGACTAATGCTTTTATTTAATGACCCCCAACCTAAAAGACTAGCATTGGGCTCTGTAGCATTCTTAAATACAAAGGCAGAGAGTTGTGAGGTGGCAAAAGACAACAAGAAGCATATTACCACTGCAGGTATTATAAATGAGAGAAGGGCATTTGTGTGATTTGCTATTATAAATCTTGGATAAAGATCTTGAATGTTTCTGTTTCAACTCAGTGTCCCAGTTCATGAGTTTCTAGCTGTAAGCAATCTGTCTTCTCTTGAGAAGTAAGCCTACAACAGCGCTTCTGCAATTCAGAATGCCGACAAATCATCTGGGAAATCTGCTTCAGTAGGTCAAGTGGGGACATGGGTGACAGTGAAGCTGTTTGTCAAGACCACCCTTTACTTCCCAAATGCCTAGGACACAAACATTTCAAATCCTTAGCCCTAACTTGCAGCTCCAGGCTACACAAAAGCAGTAATGAGTCCATTCCAGGAAACTTAGCCACTAAGTGAGGCTCTGTCTCAAAAATGAAAAGGGCTGGATATGTAACTCAGGGCGAAGGCCTTGAGTTAAACCCCCAAAATTGCCCCACTACCCACTAAAAAGTAGTAGTGGAAGCTCATAAGACATTTCCAACATTTGAAAAAATGCTTTATGGATATCACATTGTAACAATTACACTTGATATTGCCAAAAGATTGGTAGAATACACTTCTGAGATGCATCATGGAGGTGTGGCCTTGGTGGTCTACATCTGATCCCTGGCTCTTTCCTCTCTGGCATGTTCCCTTGCTCTGATTCTCTGCTGCCATGACATTTCTGCCTTGAAGCCTGCCAACCATGACTGAATTCCCTTGAAGCCATAAGCCAAATTAAACTCTCTTCCTTTAAACTGTGGGTGTCCCAGTGATGTGGTTAAAACACACACACACACACACACACACACACACACACACACACACACATACTTTCTATACAATGAGTGAAGGTGTTTAATCTATTGAGCAATTATAGAAAAATAAGTTTGGGGCTCTTTTGGCCAAAGTAAAATTTTTAAGACATGGCACAAGAGCTGCAGCAAAACAAAAGCAAAAGGGTATCTCTTTGGGATTTGTGGTACCTTAAACATCTACTGACAGCCTGCCTCCAACCCCAAGAGGTTTCCTCTTTGTAGCCAGAGGGCCCCCAGAGTTGTCATCTGCACAAAGAGTTGCTGTGTCAGATACCTGGTCTTACTAGGTGGAGAGGCGGGTTCTGCAGCCTTCAGTAGGTTGTTTTCCAGGATGTGTAGGAATGGGCCAACTGCCATCTGTAGACCTTCCCTGTGAAAAGTGAACAATCTTTAAGAGTCCGTAGGTGCTCAGCACTAAGTCAATATAGAATGAGTTCTGCTCCATAGGACTTCAAGAGGCCAGTCAGATGGAGCTAAGAAAAGCCAAGGGCAGGAAGGAAAGAAATCAGTCTGAGCTGCCTGTGAACAAAGACTCTAACTACAAAAGCTCCAATCTGCAGATCTGCTATCAACACAGCTGAAATGGAAGGGGCTGGGGGAGCAGGTGAATGGGAACGGGGACAAATTATAAAGAACTAACCCTTGAAGAATAAAAGGACAAAAATGGGAAGGATGTGAGTGATCACTTCCAGAAATTCCACAAGCACAAGTAGAAGGAATAACATTTTAAATTACATTTTTTATGTGCCAGCACTCCTGTTTTTGAGGTTTAGATCATAAAAACATTTCTTATTTGTCTTACTTATTTGACTTAATAATAAGTTCAGCAAAGTGTCCCAGTGTTGGCTCTATAGGTCTACCACTTACATTCTCAGGTTTGTCACTTCACAATAACAAGGTGACTACTGTAAACAGAAGCATGTCCTCTTACGGAAGTGAACAAAGCAAGAAAATCAGGGCTGACAAAAAAAAGAGTGTCATATATTTTTTATCAAAGAAGAAAAAATCCCAAAGTAACAGCTCTCCTAGAACTCTCAAAACTCATTCACTAACAAAAGGAAACAAGTTTGCTATGACCAGTTTCAACTAATCTTTACATGTGTTAACTGGGTAAAACCACCTTCTTTATGGCAAAGAATTTTGAAGCAATGGATAAAGGGTACTAAACCACACTATGTGACATATGCCTTCCAGAAGAATGTATGCAGCCCAACCCAAGTTGGATTGTGAGTTTGTCACCATCTGTCTTTGAAAAAAACACCCATTTTATGAAGGTAGGCTACCTGAATGGAAAAGACAATGTATCAGGAGAAGCAAACTATGGTATGGCCAAATGTGACCTGCCTGCCTGTTTTTGTAAGTTCAATTTTACTAGAACACAACTGTGCCCATTCGTTGGCATGTCTATAATTGTTTCACGTTACAAGGGCAGTAGCTGCAAGTAGGACGAGTAGCTGCAAGAGATATAACATGCCTTGTAAAACCTAAACTATTAATTGAATGTGTGTGTGTGAACTGGTGAGAGAGAGGGCAATTAGTGCCAGTTTGGGTCTGGTACAATTGTGTTACAGGGAAGCTAGCAAGTCCTAGGGAGTGGTACCAAGTTGAGTGGCTTGGCTGGAATCTCCTGGATGCCCAAGGCTAGTGCATAAGGGGCCATGCTGATTCTGAGTCAATGTAGTCAGGGGTTCTAGCTCTAATGCAACAGATGGCTCAAATTCTTGAAATGTGAAATATTCTCCTCAACATTCACACCCTGTCTTTTGCAGAACTATTCTTTTTCTCATCTCCCTGCTCTACCAATTCACCTATTGTGAGTACAAGCTGAGTAAGTTTATCATCAGAAAAAGTTAGCTTCTGAAATTTGGTAACAGAAAAACCTTCCATTTTATTAGAAAACAGGCTTTCTAGAAAGACAGCCTTAGGTACTGGGAAGACTAAGCAAACATACCACTGCTGTCCAGGGGTCTGGATTCAAGTTCTGGCTCAACCACCTTTTAGCTGACCCAACAAGGTAATCTAGGCCCCAATTTCCTTACTTACAAAGACAAGGATAACTTGACCTATTGTAACGAGAATGTAAAACTGGTTCATAATTTGTAATATGCATAAAGTAAAAAAATTACAGCTCCCCTACCCAAATACTTTGAATTTTAAAGCAAAAGGAAAAAGTGAGTGATTAGTGACTCATTGTTCTGTGTAGTAGGAAATGAAAGCACTAGGTCACCAGCCCCAACGCAGAAATACAAGGACTAAGGCTTGCAGTATGGGGTCATTTCAGTCTCTTCACAGTGATGCCACTGGCAGGTGTGAGAGAACTTAATGAACCCTTTATTCTCTCACACTTGGAGGCCTGACTGAGCATAATGTGCCAGTAGCTACCAGGTCCCTTACCTGTCTTCCTGTTGCAGGACGTACAAGGCTGTGTCCACAGCTCTCTGTTCAATCACCTGTGCAAATCTCTTCAGCATGGGGCAGCTGGGCAGATTGTGTACCTGAAAGGACCACAGGCAGTTTTAGAAATAAGGCAGCCAACCAGCTTCCACGGAGCCTGCCAGGACCTGTCTCCTGGGAGGGCCCACACAGCACAGAAATTGTGTCCCCAACGCCCACCTAAAGCTATGTATTCCTTGATTTCTGAAGGCCTAGAATTTAAAGAATTCTTTTTCTGCCCCTTCTGATGTTCCTATCAACTTTGAAATTTAGTTTAACTTTCTTTCCTGTACTGGAATTGAATCCCCCTTATATGCTAGGTAAGTGCTCTCCTACTGAATCACACTCCTGGCTCCCAAAATTGTATTTTTAAGTTTATTTATACATACAAAAAAAGGTACATTTATACCTTTTGGGCCTTCTGTCATTTTCATAAAACAAGGAAAGAGGATCTTATATCACTTTCAGGCATCCAGCTTTTGAATCTAGAGATGTATTTTTCATTGTGTAATTTTTCTTTTTTCTTTTTTTTTTTTTTTTGAGACAGGGTCTTCCTGTCTTGGGCTCACTATGTATCCTAGACTGGCCTCAAACTTGCGACAATCTTCCTGTCTCAGCCTCCTGAGTACTGGAATTATAGGTGTACACCACCATACCTGGCTTTACTGTGTAATTTTTATATACCGATTGCATAATTTTTGTGGCTAATTTAGTCTAAGGAAAACAGTCATAAGATTAACCAGATTTTTATAAATATCTCAAGATTTCCAAATATGCTAATATGTATATTGACTCTATAAAAAAATGACACAATGAAGAATTCCAAAATGTTTATAACTAAAAGATGCTAAATGTAAATTTTACATGTAAAGATTTACTATCCTTTTTCTATAATAATCCTCACTACACATCCACTCTATCCCAAAGACTGCCCTATGAAAGATACATACATACGTCTCAGCATTATAAGGATCATGCTTTGAGAAACTGATCTGGAGTTAAATGTCTGTGCTCCTGAGTGAGGAGTCCTCCCTGATTGTTTCTATCCCTCCCTGATTGCTCTAGGCCCCTCCATCCCCAAGTCCACTCCATCTGCAAGTCCTATCTGCAAACCAGTGAGCCTCCACTCAGTTCTCAGTCAGCAGACAGCCCTCTCAGGCGCCTACCGCATAGCCCCCAACCTTGGGGAAAACAGGGATCTCACCTGCTCAGCAACCACATTGTCTAGGAGAATGAGGAAGTCCACTTCATCACTACTGTCAGAGCCCATCTCTTCTTTCACCTTCTTCAAATCCTCTGAGATCCCTGGCTGCAAAGCAGCAGCCTCCCTTCGGCCTCTGTTGAAAAAAATAAAAGGAACCCCTAAAATAGTATGATGACCAACTGTTGGCACTATGCTGTGTTCAACACTTGAGATCTCATTTAATTTTCACAACCCAATGTCATGAGCTGTATTATTCCCATTGAAAAGATGAGTAAAGTGAGGCTCAAAAATGTCAAATGACTTTTAAAAGTAAATTAGCATGAATCAGTGTTAGCATAAAAGATTAGACTTTCTGAATCCTATATCTATCTTAAAACAACATTCTCTTTCTTCTACGGAACAGATATTACAGTCTTAGTATAGCCCAGAAATACCTGAGGCCCAAAAACGTGACCAATCCACCCTACACCACGGCATCTTGGTAAAGAGAAGGGAAGGCGGTGTCTTCTCATGCTTGTGCATTTGGACTTGCAAGTAGACAACCAGCTTAATCATCTTATTTTACCTGCCAGTTTTCTCATCTGGTCCACTCTACAGTCCAGAGTTGTAGGAATAATGTTTTGTAAAGCAAAGCCCAGTTCACGACATGCCATCCTCTCTCCAACTAGAATGGCTTGACCCAAACATGGGTAAACCCAGGCAGGGTCCTGTGTAAGCAGTCTGCCAGCAGAGGTGGGAAAAGGCTGTTCCCCTTGGTGAGGGAAAGCCTCAGGGCAGTTACCTGGTTCTCTGCCTCAAGCCCCAGCAGTTCTGGTAGTTGGGGTACAGGACTTCAGAGCTTGCCTCATCAGTGTGGATGATGATGGATCCTAAAGGAAGGACGTTCAGGCAGGAAGAAGCTTAAACTTTTTGTTCCTAGCAACCCCACTCTGTACTACTTCTCTTTGTCTATGGACAGAGGGCTCCAACAGGCAGATCACAAAGATACTCCGTAAGGATACTCAATGCCTTCAACACACCCTGGCTCTGCTACCAGGTGCGCTCCGATAGCCTGAGCACTGGAGAGTGCTTGTTCTCTATTTCATATGCCTTCTAGTGGGCCACAAGTGGACTGGAGCAGATAGAGACCAAGATAAGACTGGTATTTCCCTCCCCATTCCAAAGCACCCCTGCCTTGAAGCACTATCAGCACTTGGGGGTTCTCACAAATAGGCTGTTCCCAACTTGATCAGAACAAGATTATTTTCTTGCTTCCCAAAGATCAACCCCCCATAGGGCAGTATGGTGACTTATCAAACGACACCTGAAAAAGGGAGCCACAAGATCACAAATAATCTCAAACTAGGACTGCCCAAACCCAGTTCCTGCGCAAAATAAAAGGCAACCTTCCAGATAAACTGCTAGGAACCAATGATTAGACTATAACGATGTTTCTTATATAGAGATACTGCCCTTATTCCCTCTCAGTGAACAAAGACGTCCTGATATCTTCCCATGTTCTGCTCTGTGCCTATGGCATATTCTATCCACATAGTTCAGGGCTCATCGCAAAAGAAAGAGCTCCCATCAGCAGCGATTTGAAATTCATTGAGTCCAATCTATGGAGTAATTAGGTCAATCTAAGCTCCCAAAAGCAATTTAATTCCAAAGCAAATTACTGATAGTAAGAGTCCCAGGACTCTAAAAGTAGCTACGGTAATTTATGAGAATATCAGAATTCAGATATCCTTTATTGGTCTGAACGGAAGAAAATCAGGCTGAAAGTTAATGGAGTTAAGACTCGAATCTACAACAAGTAGGCTGCTGTGGGAAGTCACTTCTCTCCTTTAGGGCTCATCCATAAATCAAAAGATAGGACTACATCAGCGATTTTCAACAATTTAATGCAGTGGAATGTCCTCTACCATCACATAAAGCAAGAAAAAGTGAAATATGCAATATAGGAGGATCTGTAAAGAAAGCATTGGGAGCTCTTCAAAGGGGTTGTAGGAAAGAAAAGTGGACAGAACATGCAAGTAGACTATACTATGGATCCCAGTACCACTCCCTCCCCCACCAAAATGATGCAGGGGTTCTGCAAAACATATGAAATCAAAGAGACCAAACAATCAGAGCCTTTCTCCAAATACACATGCTCTCACAGAAGCAGCCATGCATAAAGGTAAAGAGCATGGATTCTGAATCCAGAATATCAAGAGTCTCAATTCCACCTACACTACCAGTTTTGTGTGCCTGAGCAAGTCACTTAGGCTCTCTTTGTCTTGGTCCTCTCATCTGTAAAAGGGGATAACAGTACCTACCTCACAGTATTATCACTGGAGTTAAACAGTATTTGTAAAGTTCTTAAAACAATGTTTGATATATACTGAATCCTTTTAGAGTAGTAACTATGATTATAACACTATTAATCTTCAGTATTTTATCTGGGGTCTGCTATTGGTATCAGAATATTACAACTATAGTTTATGGTAAATAAGACACACTTGAGCAGACACTGAAATGAATACTGAATAAATGACTAACCAAACAGGCAAACTAACCATTACCAGCTTCCCCCACAGCCTGATTTTCTATAGTTTATACATGGACTCTCCAGCACTTCTCTACTCCTAAAGCAGCACCCAAAGTTGTGCCACTTCCATTAATGGTGGCACTTTCTGAAGTTCTTTGGGTCCTAAACAAGGCACTGTTATTCCAACAGCCCTACCAGAAACCAGGATACCATTTTTTTATCGGAAGAAACAGGAGGCTGCCCTTGTCCCCTACTGCAAGTGACCAATGAAAATGTCCCAACATCTTCTTATGTTCTGCTCTGTGTCTATGGCAGGCTCTTTCTACACAGTTCGGGCCTCATAGCAAAAGAAACTGCTCCCATCAGCAATGATTTGGATTTTGCCAAGTCTAAAACATGGAGTAATTAAGTCAGTCTAAGCTCCATAGTTACTATTATTCTAACATTGAAAGGAATCAGTATGTACCAATATTGTTTTAAGAACTTTACAAATATTGTTTAATTGGTCTACAATCCATGTGTACATAAAGAGGCCACCATCTTTTTCCCTCAGCCACATGTTTGGTGTTTCTGGAAAGAGGACATTTCCTTTTTTGAAGTTGAGCAAGTGAAGAACATCCAGAAGATGAGGCACTGTGGAATATTCATAAGCTCATAGGCTCCCAAGAAGTAATAGACGGTTCACCCTGTCTGCTTTACGTTAGCTAGAAATACACTGTGTTAAGCAGCCAACTTCAGCCAGAATTAACACCAGTTCCCAATCCAGTGAAAGACGAGGAGAGCCTCTGCTGGTTTGAAGGTTACATTATTTTACATATTTTTAAAAGTTCAGTGGAAATTTTGTTTCTATTTGAGCTACTATTGAAAGAAGCTACAATAAAATAAGAAGTTTTGCTTTATGATACCATTTAGTATTTTAGTAAGGTTGGGGTAATCTGAAATCCAGATCAGTAATAAAATGTGAATTTGAATCAATTACAAATGACAAAATATAGGTTCATTTGATAGCCAAAAGTTCTCAAACATAGAAAGTAAGAAATGCAGCCACTGGTGGTCAAAAATTTGGGAATCATTAACTGCAATCACTCACTGGTTGAATACATCAAAACCCAAACTTGATAGACTTCCTCACCGAAGAAAGCCAACAGAATATTGCCAAAACCATCTGGATCATGCTATGGATTACTACCAGTATCAGAGTAGGAGCAACTAAGGGTCCCAACTAAGGGTCCCCCTGCCATCCTATATTGTCAGCAGTGTTTCAGTACTATTCGTGAAACCTGGATAGGGTTAACTTTTGCAACTTACATAGAAGCCTGAAAAGTTAGGAGCCCCAGGTACATGAGGTCAGGTGGCTAGGGAAGCACAAGGCTAGACTGGGAAGGACCTTCTAGAATAAGTGCATCTGTGAGTCACATGTGTAGGAAAAGAAAGGTCAAAGGAACAGGCACCAAGGATGAGGGGTGTTTTGGAAGTGAAAACAAAGAACTGCTCGAGAACAAGGACTGACTTTTAGACCTCAAACACAAACCTTCTTTATCACGCTGAAAAAGGCCAGCCAGCAAACAACGAGTAGACTCCAGATTCCGATACATGTTAGTGGAACGAATACTGGAAAAAAAATGAAAAAGCAGAGATGCTCATAAAAGGAAAACCCAATTACATAAGTTCTACCTCATTCTGCTAAACAGCTGGGAATCCTTCAAGATCAAATGAGTGTGATGGGACTAGAAAGAATGCTTGATTTCCCTCAGGATGGTGGGACTCAATGATCAATGAATGTGATCTCCAGTGACCACAGGATCCTATGACATAAGAGGAACTTCATCATGGCAAAGTGTCTCCCACAGAATTTGATACTTCTGTGGGATCTGTATAGATATGCTCACACTCAAGACCTTAGATCAGGTACAGCATCTCTTCTGGCGACTTACAAGACCTCCTGGGGTTTGAAGGATGGTGAAAGAAAGGGGATGGTGTCCACATATTTCTTCCTCAGTCTCTCTCCCAAGGCAAACATCTGCTCCATGCCCACCTTTGTCAGCTGCCCAGCAAACATGCCCCCCTGAAGTGGGGAAGAAAGGAGAACAATGAAACACCTGACAGCCTGCTGAGCTCAGCCCATGGAGAAACACTGACATTCTGCAGTGGGCCTCCCAGGATAGAAAAGTATTGCTCACCTTCAGGGTGGTCTTGCGGTAGAGAGAGTCATAAGAAGAATGTGGCTTGGGACCACCAGCTAAATTGGTGACTGTGTAATCAAACTGAGTTTGAGGAGGGACCTCTAATAGTTGGGGGCTCCATTCTACCTGTTGTGACCATAAAAAAGCATATTTTTAACAAAGGTTCTTGAAACAGCATTAACAGCCAGCAGCCCTATAATGTTCCCATGGAAAGAAAGGAAAGAATTTTACTCTCAATCAAAGGAAGAAATGATCATGATTTACTATTCTGGTTGTCCTGAGCTCATGTCCTGTTATTGCTACTTAAATTCTCATCTCTGAGTGGCTTCTCTAGTTCTAAGCTCACACTGAAGCACAAGGGAGGAATAATGGAATATCCAGCACACAAACACCTAAGTGAATGAAGGCAATATGATCTCAGAGACCATGTTTATAAACATTTCTAAGGAATTAATCTGCAAGTTTCCATGCTTGGAATCCCCTGCTTAGGACTCTGTTTAATATCCTTTCTTGCTACCATATACCTTTCTCTTCTCATCTGATTTCTGAAACAAGCATATCTTATCCAAAGATATTGCTTCTTCCTCATCTCCCTGTATACCACACAATCTGGTCCCTGTCCCAACTGTAATGTAATGGCTTTTAAAACATCACAAATGGAAAAATCAATCAATCAATCAATCATTACAGGGAGCCACAGATCTCATAGTTCCAATTACCCATAAAATTCTTAACACTCACTGAGTCAGATGTGATGACTTCAATTTTAAAAACAAGCTTTTTTTCCCCCTCTAGTCCTATACACCTTTTCCTCTTCCCAACTAATTATGTCTCTCTCAATGCAATAATTCTCCTAGGTCTGAAAATTCAAACCTCTGATTCCCTGCTTTTCCATGATTCCTGTGTCAAGCTCTATTGATTTACTGGCTAGCAAAAAAGTTCCTAGCAATGGCCCTTCTACTATCTTATTATCAGAATATAAACTTTATTACTCCATACAAAAGACACCTTAGTCCTTCTTCCCAGTTCTGATCCTCTAATTCCTCTGGGTAACCCTTCAAGGCCTCACAGCTGTATGATGGCTCAGTTTCTTCAGCCTCTTCCTCACCACTTCATCGTTGTCCCCTACACTTATTCTCAAGAAACACAACTTTAATTCCCTTAGTACCAGTCTCACATCTCCTCTCTTTTTTCAAAGTTATTTCCTCTGCCTGGAAAATTTTCTTCTTTTATCTGCAAAGACTCTCGTTCCTTCCATAAAACTCAGCAAGCCCTGACCATGGCCTGACCTTACACGGTAACCTCAGTGACTTTCTGTGGGAGTTTTTACCAAAATGTTCTAGAAGTCCTCTACTGGTTTGTCCTGTTCGACAGACTTAGCTTCCTGAGAAGGGACTAGGTCATCTATGGACCCCTATGTTCTAGATGCCTTAAAAGAACTTGGTATTTCACAGGTTCAATTAATAGTTCTGACAACTTGCTGAATCCTGTGGAAGATATCAAGCCTGAGATAACTTTTCCTGGCTTTTCCAGGTCTTCTTTTCAGTAGAGGAAGCAAACTATGAATATAAATGATAGCAATGCCTAGATATATGCCATAAGAAGCCAGATAAAGGCCATTATAGTTCAAAGGCAAGATAGACCTTTTCTTTTGGCTAGAAATTCAGGAAAAGTTTCATGGGAGGAATGGCATTTGAAAGGAATAGGACTTAGACATGCACAAACTTGAAGTTGTAAGAAATAGGTAAGGACAGCCTGAGAAAGGTAGAGATGGTAAAGAATTACAGCAAAGAGGTGGTTTAGTTCCCTAACATGGGAAAGACTTTCAAATTTTTTAATTAGCAATTACCAAGTAAGGTTAATTTTAGATTTGTACATATAAAGGCAAAGTTTCTCTAGTTCAAGTAGGAATAAGCAGAGCTTCAGCCATTCAGCACCACTGTGGCCCATGGTTCCAAAGACTAGTTAGAAAGCTGGCAGTACACACATATTACAACTGTATGGCAGTGTAATGGAGGCATAGAGGAAGAATGATTACTTGGAGATGAGACTTAGCTCAATCACCAAGACCAAAATCACTAACTCAACTGAGATCACCCAGTGTAAGGGTGACTCCCAGGAGAAGCCCTGAAGCAAGAATTCTATGGCTTTTATTTAGAATATCATTCAGTGTAAGTGAAAAAAGTGAAAGGAAAGCAGCTTGGGCAAGGTGCTCTTACAAGGCAAGGCAGTTTTTCTTGTGGAAACAGGGAGCGCAATGGTTGGACACAACATGCTGAACTCTAACCTTCTTGTTGTTTAATCATTCATTTCTCATAGAGCCTGTGTGCTTTTGCCCCAGAGGTTAACCATTCACTCCTCGGTCAAGTCCACCACACAAATGGAATGGAAAGACCAGAAGCAAAAAAGCAAATTTTACCATGCCTGCAATAATGTACATAAATAGCTAAGGTTTTGTCTAAGGCAGAAGAAACAAAGACGCAGATACAAGATATCTATGTTAGTTTTGATGCTTAAGTAAACAAAAGCTTTATTTGGCAGATGGGTTGGTCACTAAACAAAGAGGAATAAAGAAAAAAACCAGTGTGATTTTCAGTCTGTGTGCCTAATGTGGATAATGAAACCATTTTTTGACTAACATTAAGTCAAAGACAGAAGAACTTCTAGAAAGCTGAGTTCAGTTCTGGTCATTTTAAGTTTGAGATAGCTCTTTGTATTCCCAGTACTCTCTGGCTCTGCATATTCCCATAATTAAAATCTGTTTTGCCCCTCTGCTTTATCATGTTGTAAACTCCTTTAAAGCCAAGATTAAATTATCCTTCTTGGTAAATCCACTATCTAGCACAGGCTAGACAGGCTACAGGGCCATTTAGCCGCACCGAGGAATCTCTTCTTAGGTAGGATCTTTGATGTTTCCCAGGGTACAATTTCCAAAGTTCATCACGTCAAGTTCCCAGTACGCATTTTCAGATGTCAAGAATAGACAACATATCAGTCTCACATACAGTTTACCTCCATCCCACCCAATACACATAATCACATTGTCACTCCTGCTCTTCAGCTTTCAAATTAGTGGGAAGGTCTAACTTAATAATTTTGTTTTATTTACAGCCCATCTTCAAAAAGGAAGAAAGTACAAGGACAAAACTGAATACAATGGTAACTTTATTTAAAAATGCACACCACAAGGATCCAAATACTTATCACAGGTGGGCCACAGCTTTGGCACTAAGCCTTCTAATGCTAACAGACAAATGTCTCCCGAGGGTCCTCATAAAGAAGACAGAATAATAGAATGAACATCTTTCCAGTACTCACTGCAGTGAGTTCTGCGGGACTATTTCTCCCAGTTCCTTCAACACTGAGGTATATTGTACTGAAGGCAATTCTGTACTGGGAATCAAGAATCTTCATTTTAGGTAAAAGAAAGAAATCTACATAAAAAATTTCCAGGTATAGATTTTAGAATAAAGTGATGATTTTAAACTTGGCTATCCAGTAGCATCATTAAGAAAATTTATAAAGTTACTTATGTTTGAGCCCCATTTTGGACTAATTATATTGGCTAGTCATAGAGCTCGAGTCTCAACTTTCTCGTACTGTAGCGTCCAGATAATTTTAAAGTTTCACCCCAGAAATTTTTATGTTTGGATACTCTCAGCCAATTAAGTCAGACTTTCTGGGAGGAACATTCAGGTGTCAGTAATTTTGTCTGATTGTTTATGAGACAAGGTCTCACTATGTAGTTTAGGCTGGCCTCAAATTAGCAATGATTGTTCTGCTTCAGCCTCCCAAGGGCTGGGATTACAGGTATCTGCCACCATGCTCACTAAGCATTAGTGTTTTTTAAACTTCCCCAGTTGAGTTCAATGTGTTTCCAAGGTTAAGAACCATCAATCCAGAGGAATGGATGGACTGACTGATACAACCTTATTGCAGTGCTTCCTAGATAACACTTTTCTCAGCTTACCTCTGGATAGTTTTAACTCAAAAACCCAAAAGGGTGCTGTACTTATTATAACTTGTTCTTTTCCTGTAAAACTTGTGTAATTGCCAGTTAAGCTGCAACCTTGTAACATACCCACCATGTAACCCCCTCCCTACCTCCCTGGTTCCTGTAACTGCTCCTTAGGCCTCCCTGGTTCCTTTTATGGGGTCAAACTGATCCTAAGACCCTCACCCCTTCCCTTGGGGCTTGCTACTTAAAACTCCCTGCAGCCCTGGCTCCAGTGCACACTTTCCTGGCTGCTCTTTTGGGACAGTGTTGCCACTGAACTCGGCTAATAAAGCGCTTTTTTTTTTTTTTTTTTACTTTTTTAGAGTCCGTGATTTTTCTGCCCATATCAGATAGGAACAAAGCAATACAACATTATGTTGCCCGGATCATCTACCCACAAATAAAAACCAAAGTGCCTTAACTATGGATATGGAGTACACTCAACTCTATAAAAATAAAAACCTCCCTGGTGGGGGCAACCTTGCCACTGTCCAGAGGTCGGCTCTGGGAAAGCTGAAAGCAGGATCAATTTTTCTTTTGAAAATATACTTGGACCTACTCTATTGATCAGAAACATGGTTGATCAAATTTCATAATTTTATTTCCAAAGCATAATCTTTCAGCAAGACAGGTTAAGTCAACAGCTGTTCAAGTCACAAGAAACAACAAAACACATAGTTCTAAATGGTGCTACTCTAAAGATTCATGAGATAACTGAATGACTGGGCATATATGTTTCATCTATAGACCAGTTAGAAATCAGGAAACATGTATCAAACCAACTCTACTTTCAGAATTGTTGCCAGGCAGTCTCATCTGACTAAAATAAATGACCAAACCAGAAAGATTAGAAAATCCCAAAAACCCTGTCCATCAAATTGGATACTAAAGAAAAAAAGATCTGAGATATCCAGAAACAAGTTACAGAAAGCTGATGACATTCACTAAAAGCCTAAATTCAAAGAGAATTGATTCCATTCCTGGCTTTCATATATGAAAGCTAAAATGCTTAAAGAATCTGCCTACAGTCTTCAGTGTATGAGCGGGCAAGAGAGGTATATGTGCCTTCTCTCGTCGCAAAGCGAGGCTATGGAATCAGATGTTCCATTTTTTGTAGCTGTGCAGACAGAAAATGAATGAAGCTGGTATGCTAAGTAAAAGCCACCCCTTTCACCATAAAAACAGAAGATACCTATCACACCCCACTGACTCAGAAAAAAATCTGTAAAAGAACCTAAATCTTTCTCTAGGGCCTTTAGGGGTCAGGTATACCACACAGACTTATACTAGACCCAGCACAAATCCAGGTGTAGACAGGCAAATTTTTATTCTCTGTTACCACCAATAACTTTGTTTTTAATATGAATATAATATATATTCCAATATATGACTTCCCAGCCCTCTGTCATAAGAATAAATGGTGATGAATGAGAGCAGGAAGTACATAAGAAATGGGCTACTCTAAGGTAAAAAGCAGGTAAGAAGCAGGAACCGTGGCACATGCCTCTGGAGGATGAGATCATAGGATCCGGAGTTAAAGCCCAGCCTGGGCAATTTAACCGACTTAGTAAGACCCTGTCTTCAAGCAAAAAGTAAAAAAGGCTGGGATTGTAGCTCAGTGTAAAGTCCTTGAGTTCAATCCTAGCTTAAAAAAAAAAAAAAAGAAAAAGAAAAAAAAGAATGAGAAAACGATTGTATCTTACATCTGAATGTTCCCCCAAAGCCTCAGAGGTGGCAGAATCTAGTGTGTGATGCTGGCATTAAGAATGTGTGATTAAAAAATGATTCCATTGATTGGTTTGGCATAGAATTAAGGGGATCCCACCCTAGGTGTGAGTGGATACAATACAAATGACAGAAAGACTTTGTCTCCTGTCACTTGTCACTTGCTGCTTTGCTAGGTTACCTGCTTGCTGCCTTCTGACCAAACTGTTTCTCCTCCACAAAGTCCTTCTCTCATGCCATCACTTTGGGTAATAGGTATTTTGTCTCAGCAACAAGAAAAGTAACTAAAACACCAGGTAAGGGACCAAAAAAAGAACAAAGCATCATAAAGAAGAAGAAAAAAAGAAATTCCAGCTAGAAAGGTCAATCATATGAAGACTAACTAAAAAATGGTCCTAGCGTTAAGTGCCCACAAAAATATATTTATTTGTGAAAGAAGAGCCTTAAATGTTTGATTTCGTATGTGGCCAACTTTAAAAACTGGATTTTCAGTTGTACAATGTGAAGATACAACCCTCACAGTTTTGGAAAAGCAGATATGATAATGAAGAATATACCTAATACCTGTTTGACCTGCTCCAACATCAAGGAAAACTAACCATACAAAAGCACAGCCAGGTAAGTGTGACAGTTGGGGCCTTAGGGATATGTGGTTCTCTATTTCTCTTCACTAAGTCCTTCTGTTACAAGAGGTCACAATCCGGCAGGATAATCATTTAAAGCCAAAACAAAACAAAACAAAACAAAAACAACTAATTATTTTGCTTTAATCAAAATTATCCTGGCCAAAGCAGGCAGATTTTAAGACATCATAGCCCATTTTTACTTAAATTTTAAATTTAAATTTTCCAAAAAGTCCCTTCCATTACAGGTTTAGAATCCTAAAATGCAAACGCACACCACGACACAACACTTGTTACCAAAAAGCGGTCAGGTCAGATCTCAAATGGCTTTTAGCAAACCCTGAGCTGTTCCCTGTAAATCGACATCTGTCTGTTATCACCGTTTCAAAGGTCCTGGCAATTCTGACAACCACCAAAAGTCATACAAAAGCGCACTGCAGTCCTGTACAAGTTCACCCAGACATTTTCAGGAAATGCTGAATTTCTGATTCCACCAGACATTTGCTGAATTAGAATATACATTGTACCAATATCTCCAGGCGACTCCTTTGGACCTTAAGAAGGCCAGCTATGGGATGAAACAAAATTTTGGACCCTTCTACCTTGGAGGGTCCCCGCACTGGCCGCTGAGGGAAGTAAAGAAGAGAGAGCAAGGACCCAAACCGACCCCTTTCCACGCAGCAAAAAACTCGCAATTGGGAGATTGGGCAGGCGCCTGGCCCAACCCCCATCCTTCCCACCAGCCTGGCCTCAGCCCAGCCCTCACCTGCTCCTTCAGCGGGAGCGCCTTGAGAGGACTCCGCGCCCCGTGTCGGAACACGACCTGTACCATTTTCAGCTCCAGCAAGCTGCGGTCAATAGGACGCTGGCCGTCGGCTGGCCGCCGCTCCGCCAAAGCTACTCGCTGCCGGTGGAAGAAGTACGCCAGCGAGGTCAGGGCGCCCACCGGGGCCCACACGCGTATGCCGAAGATGCCGGTGATCATGGTGGTAGCTCCTCGTCGCAGCCCTCCGTGGGCGCCGCGAGGTTCAGTGGCCGCTCCCAAGCTCGCGCAAACTGGAGGGAAAGCACAGCCAACCCCTGGAACAAGCACAGACCGCAGCCACTACCAGCCCTGAGAGAGACCCGAAGAAGCGGAGGTGAGGGTACAAAACCGCCCTGGGAGTTTTCACCCGGGACAGAACTGGCCGCTCCCGCTGTGTAGACTGGGCCTGGGGAAGCTCAGTTTAGTTTTGGTTCTCTAGGAAATCTTAAACTTAGGTTTCAAATTTGGCACCCACTATTGCAGGAACTAGCCCTGAGTTTCTCGGTACTGAAATCTCTCGAGCAGAACTCCCTTTCTTATAAACCCCAAAGCACCTACCTCCTCACCCTCTCAGAACCAGTCCAAGTGGAACCGCGCAGAGAAGCACGGGAAAGGAGTCCCGTGGTAACTGTCTGACCACAGACTGGAAACTGTGAGAACTACAATTCCCATGAGGCAGCGCGCAGGCGGGGTTTCCCCCCTACCTTCGTAGGCTGTAAGGTCCCCTGCTAGGCCCGCCTCCTGTCTCCTGTCTATCTCCAGGCAGGGAGTCCCAGGACTTCCCTGCGTGGGCTGGGCTGAAGCGGTTCTGTAAATCTGTAAGAAGTGAAGGTTTACTAAGGGAGGGTGACAGGGAAGCACAAGGTTAAGAATAGAACTGGATGGTGAAGAGAAGTAGTTTGGTTGCAGTTTTACAAGTAGAAAACTTTCTTGAAGTCCTGGAAGTGGGATTACTGAAATCAAGAGTAAGGGACACCTACTAAGCGGTTATCACTTGCAAAACTTGGTCCTCAGTCTTTAGGTTTAGTTTACATTTACTATGGATGGTTAAGAAAATTCTCAGGTATGAATCGTCGTAATCACATGGAACTTTAAATTCTCTGCTGTGTTTACTTACATCCGGAATACATGTTTCTTGTGGAAAAAGTCGAGACCTTGCTCAAAAACATTGCTCAAACTGATAAGACAAGCCTTAGCAGTTGTTGGTCTGGTCTCTATTGCATACAGTCATCCCAAGTCTACATTGTCAGAATTTTGCAACAGGATGCAATCTGTACCGGTATGTGATCATTGCAAGGTAAGGGTCAAGTTGTGAAAAAGAGTCTATAAATATATGATTTTGAACCATTTCTTTAATCATTCTCAGTGGTATCTTTAAGTGAAACTTGGACAGAAGAGGACATACTTAATAGAATGCAAATGTCACACCTGAAGTTAAACTTCCTTCATGAACTGGAAGATTCTAAATGTGAATCTTCCCAGCTTGGACTGGTTGCTAAACAGTGAACATTCTTTTTAATCTGTATGAGCTATAGTAGTGGCTTCTCCTGCCAAGGTGTTTGAAATGCGTTGGCAGTTGAGCTCTATAGAAAATCAGAGCAGGTGAGGTTGGGAAAAATGACAGATTCCTTGTCTAGAACAAAGTGCGCCTTGTCTGCATATGTGAAAGAACTCTTGGGGAATCCTGTAAGTATTTTTCATGTGCATACTTCAGTTTAAAAAGAAAACGCAGAGCTTCCCAGAGTTTGAAATGTACTCTGGAGACAAGGAAAGGAGGAAGAAGAACACTTGCAATGTATTTTGACCCTGATTGTACTACCAGGCAGGAATAGCTTGAGAAATAATCCCATTTTTCACCGAATGGTCTTCAGAGAGTTACACTTGATACTATCCAAATCTGAATTGTGAGATTAGACAAGACATAATCATATTCACTGTTTAATTTCCAGTAGTGAGCATAGTGCCTGACTCATAATTAAGTACTCCATAAATTCTTGTCAAATGAAATTATAGGATATGTGTGGTGAAGGGCATTGTCCATTACATTGCTTACTGCTTCCTACAAAAATCTCATCTGTGGAAATATGATTTAGAGCAAAGAATTAACTTTACATCATATTTAAAAATGTGAAACTAAGTTTTCCTTCACTTTTGCCTTGATTTCCAGGAAGGTTGGCATCCAATTTTCAGCTAAGTGATAGGAAGTATTTGGAATTTAATGACCATTATAACTGTGCTCTTTCCCTCCATTGTATTACTCTGGATTAGGAGGGGAAAAGGTCAGTTAGGAAACTGTTGCTACAACCCAGGTGTGAAACATAGGAGGTAGTTAACACAATAGAGTGGATAGATGAGTCAAAGATGTCGCCTAAGTTTCTGGATTGGGTAACTAACAATGCCATTTGTCAGGGAAAATTAAGCAAAAAAAGGAAAGTAACTTTGAAGATATAGATGAAGAGGTATTTGTGTGACACCTAGGTAGAAATGGCCTTTAGACAGTTGGTTATGTAGTCTGGAGCTCAGAATAAGTTTGGGGTAGAAAAACATATGGGGGACTCTTTGGTACATAGTTAATCATTAAAATAGTGGAAATGGATGTTTCTCAGAACACGTGGTAGAATAGAGAAAGAAAAAAGAAAACTCTAGGACAGGTTCCTGAGAAACTACCATATAAAGAAAAGAAAGAGAAAGAGAAACCTGATAATGATCATGCAAAGGAGTGGCTGGGGATAGACAGAAAATAATGACAAGTATGAAGTAAGCCAAAAGAAAAAAAGGTTTTAAGAAGAAGTACTAGACAATGGTATTAATGGAACGAGAAATCAAGCAATATAAGGCCCAAATATCAATAAGATTCAGTAAAAAAGTAATCTCTGATCACTTTAGAGAGTAGCCTCAGTGAAATAATAGGATAGAGACTGAATTGACATGAGTAATGTAGATGTCATCAAGTTTAACTGAGAAGTAGTGATTAATTGAAGTGGTTTGAGGTGTTTGATCCATGAAACTAAGGAAGAATTGTCTTTTGAAAGTGAAGAAGTGATACGCTGTCTCTGTCTGCTACTCACTAGCACACTGCAATGGAAGGGTCACTTAGCCAGTGCGCTTCAGAAGAATTGTAACCAACAAAGAAAGCAACTCGGGTCTCCTGGAAGAAGCAAAAAAGATGGGAACAGGAAGCAACAACAAAAAGTCCCCAGGTCCCAACCCTGAGAACACTGACCCAGGACAGGTAAATACAAAAGAGAACAAGAAGAGCAAACATGCAATATCAGACATAGCGCCAGTGAACATAAAGAGATATATTTGGGACCTCATAGATGAGTTCAAACGTGAAATATTTAGCCAAATAAAGCAAGATATAAGAAAATTAATTAAAGAGATACTAAACACCCCTCAAGCAGACACAGATGGAAGGGAGAAACTCAAACAAAGGAGAGAAGCATTTAATGAAGAATATAAAAAAAACTATAGGATACATGAAGCAGATTCAAAGAGATCAACAGGAAATTAAAAACTATGGAAAGATGGTGAATCAGCTTGAAAGAAACTAAGGATAGATTATCCAAACTGGAGGACAATTTTGCAATGTGGGAGTATGAAAGGGAAAACTTTTTAAAAATAACAAGAAAACAAGCAATAACAATACAAAGGCTAGAAGATGACAAAAGGATCTATAACTTGAGAATAAAGAATGTAAGTGAGGAAGCTGGGATATAAACAAAGGAACTACAAAGATTATTCACAAAAATAATTAAGGAAAACTTCCCAAACATAGGAAAAGAAAATGATATTCTGATTTATGAGGCATACAGAACTCCAGCCACCTACAACCAAAACAGAGCTACACATAACATATAATAATCAAGATCCCAGAAATTCAATATAAGAACAAAATATGAAAAGCTGTTAGAGACAAGAAACAGATAACCTATAGAGGAATGCCCATCAGAATAACGGCAGACTTTTCGACACAAACCATCAAGTCAAGAAGAGCCTGGAGTGAAATATTCCAAGCCCTGTAAGAAAATAACCTCCAGCCCAGATTGATATACCCTGCTAAACTGTCTCTAGAAATTAATGGAGAAACAAGGTGCTTCCAAGACAAAGAGGAACATGGGAAATTCACAACCACCAATCCAAGTCTACAGAGAATCCTGCAAGGCATTCTATAGAGAGAGAAAATTACTAGGATTCCAGGAACAGTGGCAGAGAGGCCTCAATGAATGGAGCAGAAAACAGAATGAAGAAGATAAGCAAACAACTGATGGCAAACAAGAGCATAACAGAAATGAGGCAGAGAAGATGTTAATCAAAACTGATATGATTGATAGTATCAAGTCTGAGAGTATAGGCAACTACACTGAAGATGACAAGACTATGATACACATTCTAGTTTGATAACTGCTGGTTTTTGAAGTTCTGTACAATAACAAAGTTGTGTTTTTATTAATACTGTTATGTACTGATATATTCAAATATACTATGTCTGATGATATAGCCAGTTCTATTGGAGATAACAAGAGACAACCTAGGAACCATGGTAGAACTCTTTGTACAGTGGTCTTACATTTTTATTTTGTTTCATGTGTTTATAGGAATATGTTTTGTTTTGTCTTGCTTTGTTTTGTTTCTCCCTCTAATATAGAAAGGATAGAAATACATGTTAAGACTCATGCATGTGTATAATCTATAAACAGTTTATGAGAACTGATCTTATGACACATGATGAAATGAACAGATACTTTGAAGAAAAAGAGACACTAAAGTACCCAGTGCTGATCCTGGAGTGTCATAATGTGAAACCCAGCAATAGTACTATGCTTTGTTCAGAGTGATATTAGCCTGCTTGGGTTTATTCAATATCAATATAATTGAGGATATGGATAACTGCATGTATGTTTAAGTGTATAGGGTTGATAACCATATTTCTAAGTTTTTGTTGGATAGTTGAACAGAACTGGTTGCAATCTCACTGTTTGAATCCCCACTTTATATACTCCACTTTAGTATCTTGAATAACTATTTGTAAGAAGACAATCTGTAATAATCAACTAGTGATTTCTTACTGTATTTTTTCTTTGAAATTATGTATCATTTGTACCCATTTTCTGTTTTGTTTAGTCTTTCTTTAAATTAAGTTTTTTTAAAAAGGCACTATGGTACCCAGCGCTGATCACAGAGTATCATGATGTAAAATCCAGTAATACTATTATTCTTTGTTCAGAATGATTTTAACCTGCTTTAGTTTGTTTAATCTAAACATAAATGAAGATATGGATAACTGCATGTATGTTTCAGTGTATAGGATTGACAACGATGTTACTAAGTTTTTGTTGGACAGTTGAACAGAACTGTTTGCAGTCTCGCTGTTTGAATTCCCACTTTACATATTCCACTCTTGTACCTTGAACAAGTATTTGTAAAATGACAATATGTAAACATCAACTAGTGATTTCTTACTGTTTATTTTTTTCTCTGAATGTATGTATTATTTATACCTATTTTCTGTTTTCTGTTTTGCTTAGTCTTTCTTTAAATAAAATTTAAAAAAAAGAAAAATAAAAGAAAATGAAAGAAGTGTGTATATTTTTAAAATGATTATAGAGAAAAGACTGGAGACAGGTTGAAAATATGAGATGAGGTAATAGGTCTACGCAAGTGTTTAGTAGGATAGGCGATGAGAAATTACTTAAATATCATAATTAGGCCCAGAAGGAGAAAGTACGCTATGCTGTATATCAATAAGACAGGAAGAATGAAAAATATCTGTGAATAGAATACATTAGTAGTTCAAGAATTCGAGAGGGTCTTTTTTCTGTTTTCTTTTTTTTTTTTTTTTTTTCCTGAAAAATAGCTGGTGGGTTGGTGAATGATTCACTTAACAATTTGAGAAACATGGCAGCACATACTTGCCAGACACCATAGAAAAAAACCTTTTCTAGGTACCCAGCTGATTCTGATGTGCTGTCTCTTTACATCATTCTTTGAGAATTACTGATGGAAAGTCTAGAGAAGGGTTATAGTTTTCCCTCAGTATCTGTAAAGGGTCGGTTCCAGGGCCTTCTCTTTTCCTCCTCCCTGAATACCACAGTTCTCAGATCCTTGAGTCCCTTATATAAAATGGCCTAGTATTTGCATATCTCCTCCCATATATTTTAAAGTATCTCTAGAATATTATAATATCAATACAATGTAAATAGTATGTAAAATAGTTGTTGTACTGTATTGCTTAGGGAAGAATGACAAGAAAAGTGTCTGAATATACACAGTATAGATGCAGTTTTAAAAAACAAAATATTTATGATTTGTGGATAGTTGAATCTGTGGATGCATGGTATGGTTTGGATGAGTGTTCTCCAAAAGTCTATGCAGTAAAAGCTTGGTTCACATTAGGTTTTTTTGCACAGTTCAAAGAGATAAGGAGGCCTTTATTGTGGGCACATGAGGGTTGCAGAAGAGTGCAAGTTCCCTTTGACCAGAACAAAGGGGTGGTTGGGCTTTTATTTGGCCCTGCTGGTGGTGGAGTTTGGGAGGTAGGTCAGGTGACATAGTAGCAACTTGTTGGAGGAGTGTTGACATGCACGAAAGAAGGAACAGGAAGGTTATTTTGGGCTAAGGGGAAAAGAAAAAAGAAGTTGCTATGCTCTTGTTCTTGGCTCTTTGGCAATGTTGGACCACTGCCGTGATGACTTGGAGAATTTCATATGGGCAGAAACCCATCAGTCCACAGGGTAGCACTATTGAGAGGCATTAAAACCTCTGAAAGGTTGGACTTCATGTGTAGTCACTAGATAATTGAAAGCATGCACTTTAAAGGAATTATGGGAATGCTCATCTTTTCCTCTCAAGGTTATTTTTGTTTTTTTTTGAGTTTTGTTTGTTTGTTTGTTTTGGGGTTTTTTGGTTGTTTGAGACAGGATCTTGCTATCCAGTTGAGGCTGGTCTTGAACTCATGACAATCCTCCTGCTTCAGCCTCCAGACTGTTGGAATAACAGGTGTGTGCTACTACACCTGGCTCTTCCTCTCATTCTTTGCTTCATTACTCATGAAATAAGAAGTTTACCCTGCCATACACTTCCTCCACGATGTGCTGACTTCCCCAGAGGCCCAAATGTTCAGTCACCTGATTTTGGACAGTGTCTTAGTTACTTTACCTCATCGATGAGACAAAATACCTGATGCCCAAAGTTAGGAAAGGAAAGGTTTATTTCTTACAGTTTTTGGAGGTTTCAGTCCGTATTCAGATGGCTCCAAGGGAGGGTGGCATAGCGGGACTGAAGTTCATGGCGGCTGCAAACAGCAAGGTGGAAACCGGCAAAAGAGAGAGACACATCTTCCTGCCATTCCACCCCTACGTTGGTGTAACACTGACACCATTAATCCAAGCACTAGAAAATTAACCTATCGTAAATGCATAATGCAAAGGCATGAGGCCTGGGGGCCACCGACATAAACCATGACAGACAGGAACCTTCAGAACCAATAAGTCAGAATATACGCTTTCCTTTTCTTTCTTTCTTTCTTTCTTTCTTTCTTTCTTTCTTTCTTTCATCTTGCTTTCTTTCTCTTATATTGGGGATTGAATTCAGGACCTTTACACTGAATATATCCTTAGTTCTCTTTTATTTTTTATTTTGAGACAGGATTTTGCTAAGTTGCTAAATTGCCCAGATTGGGAACAAACTTGCAGTCCTCTTGCCCCAGTCTCCCAAGAATGATGGGATTACAGATTTGCATCACTGTGCCCAGTGAGCCTTTTCTCTTTATAAGATAATTGCTTCAGGTATTTGTAGGGATGGAAAGTTGATTGGTACAGTGCAGAGCCAATGGGGTCGGAGGGCTATTTTATATGGAGACACTTTGTAAAATAGGAGAAATTATCAGTGAGAAGGGAGTAAAAAAGAGTAGCAGTAGGGAAAATTTTCTAGAAATTGATTCAAAGAGTTGGAAGAAAGTATACAAAAATAAAGGAGCATATCGGCTCACATCTGTAAGCCTAGCTACTTGAGATACCAAACAGGAAAATTACAAGTTTAATGCCAGCCTGAGCTACTTGTGGAGATCTTGTCTCATTTTTTTCTTCTATTGGTACATTTTAGATATACATATGATAATATTCATCATACAGTGTTATATTTGTACATGATATATTTGCTTCTTTTTTCCCATTTCCCTCCCTTCCCAACCAACCCTCTTGCCCTTTTTATTTAAAAAAGCTTTGTTTTCATTTTTTTTCCTTCTATTCTTACTGTTTCTTGGTGCCTCTTCCTTCTCCCCCTCTCCTGTACCTTGTCCCCTTCTCTATTTTTTTTTTTTTTTTTTTTGGTACCAGGAATTGAATTCACAACCTTGTGCTTTCCAGCCAGGTGCTGTGCCACTAAGTTATATCCCCAGCCCTTCCCCTTCTTATTTGAATCTTTTCTTCCTATTTCCCAATATCTATTATGTATTTTGGTCCTTATTTACATTTTGATTGAGAAACAATACAATATTTACACATATGTTGATATATTTCACTTAAGAATATGGTCTCAAGGTGTATTCATTTAGCTAGAAATATCCCAAGTTTACCCTTTTTAAGCTAGAAATATCCCGGTTATCCTTTATGGCAGAATAGTGCTCCATGGTTTAAAAAAACTACATCTTCTTTATACATTCATTGATTGGTGGGCATTTGGGTTGTTTCCAAGATTTGGCTATTACAAACTGTACTACTATAAATACAAATATGCATATATCACTGTGGTATGGTGCTTTTAATTCTTTTGGGAAGATATCAAGAATGGGAATCTGCACCCTGATTTCTGTTGAAGTTGCATCATTCTACACTCCTACCAACAGTGGAGAAGAGTTCCTATTTCTTCATATCCCCACGACATTTTCTATTGGTTGATTTTTTGATAATGGCCATTCTTTCTGGGGTGAGAGGGAATCTCAACATTGTGTTAATTTGTATCTCTCAAATGACCAGTTGAAAAATGTGAACATTTTTTCATGTATTTATTTGCTATTTCTAATTCTTCATCTGAGAAATATCTATTAATTTCAGATGCTCACTTTTGGGTTGGGTCTTTAATATCAAGGGGCCCAGTTTTTTTTTTTTTTTTTTTTTTTTTTTTAGTTCTTTATATATTCTGTATGTTAATCTTTTGGCTTAGGCGCAGCTGGAAAAAATTTTCCCACATTGTGAGTTGTCTCTTTATTCTGTTGGTGGTTTCTTTTATTGTGCAAAAGCTTTTTAATAAGGTGAGATCCAAGTTGTTGGTTATTGTGATATTTCCTGTACAATCGGGATTTTGTTCATAAAATATTTTCCTAAAACCAATGTCTTCAAGCGTTTACCTATTTTATCTCCTGAAGCTTTAGTGTTTCTGTCTTAATATTTAGATCTTTGATCCATTTCCACTTTAGTGCAAGGTGACAGGTATGGGTCTAGTTTTAGTCTTTGGCAAGCAGAAAGCCAGTTTTTCCAGCACCATCTTATTAAAGGGGCTCACCAACACTTCCCCCAGTGGCTGGAAGCTTGAGGTTTAACAAGTGGTTTAAGCTTATTCTGTATTCTAATATAGAAATTCACTGCTATGAATTTTCCTAGTAGGACTGCTTTCATTGTGTCCTATATATTTGATATGTTGTATTGACATTATCATTTAATTGTAGAAACTGTCTAATTTCTTCTCCAGTTTTTTCTGTAATCCACTGATTATTCAGGAGTGTGCAGTTTAATTTCCATGTGCTTATGAAATTCTTCTGGCTTCATTTGCCATTGATTTCCAATTTCATTGCACTATGGTCTGATAATGTGCATGGGATAATTCCAACTACTTTGCTTTGATTAAACATATTCTATGAGCTAGTATGTGGTCTATTTTGGAGAATATCTTGTGTGCAGCTGAGGAGAATGTGTATTCTGACATTGTGGGATTGGAACATCATATAGACTTGTACTATATTATTTTTTTCAAAAGTTTGGTTTAGTTACGATATTTCTTTGTTGATATTTTGTTTAGTTGATCTATCTGTGACAGTGAGGAATTGAAGTCCCCTACTACAATCGTATTAGTGCCTATTTGATGTTTTATGTCCATTAATATTTGTTTTATACAATTAAGTGCACTGGCATTTGATATTTATATAGTTATATATCTCTCGGGTTATTTACTATAATGACCTTCTTTGTTTCTCTTAATCAATCTT